ACACCTCAAATCTCAACGAAAGATCATGTTCCTAATTTTACCTCATAATATCTCCCATAGGAACCCACAAAACACTCTAATTCACATCAAAACTTATCTATTTTCAAAATTAAACACATATTCACACTCAGCAAACATCGATCAAGGAACACAATAGAAAACTCAAGCATAAAAATAGAAAACATTCAAAAAGTGTTTGTTCCTAAGGGCATGCATTAGGCAATAGATTTGGGGCTAATCTGACTACCCAATCGATATTCCCACACCTCCAAGTGAGGTTTCTCAATCCCCCCTCTTACCTTGATGAGCAGAAGATGAAGCACGAGTAGAATCTGATTGTTCTCCTTCTCTTAGCTCTTTTTGTTCTTTAGAGAACAATGTATAGAGCATGTAATAAGAAATGAGAAGTGAGAGCGTGACATGGAAAAAACCCCTGATAACTTCTTTTGATAAAATAAATAATAATAATAATTTTAAACATGCCTTCTCCCTTTTATAAGATAACTTAAATATAATTATTAATAATAAAATAGATTTCATAAAAATAACTCCTGCTCCTCTAATTAAACAAAATATAATTACAAATCGTGTTTCATAGTTAAAATAAATCTCATATAACTAATTAAATAATATACAAAACTCTAAAATAAATACATTAAATGTGAAAATAATTTCTAAAATACTATTTATTATAATTAAGATACGAAACCCGAGGTGTTACACCTTTTATTTTCCTATACCACTACACTCAGTTTTTGGTAGGGGAAGTGTTTACAAAACGAGTTTTGTGTTCTTGCAAATTGCAAAGATCATACGTAACTATATTACAATGGAGCTTCTATTAAGGAAGATTTCACACTTCTATTCTATTATAGAAATAAATATACAAATATAAAGTAGAAGTCTCTAAAAAAATTTAGAGGATGAAGCAAGGAATGTAACTTGTGGTGCTTGTGTAGTTTCTTTTTCTCCATGATCTTTCTTGCTTTAAATATAAACTTTTGTCTTACCTTTATAGGCACTCATTAATAGATCAGTTGTAGCTTGCTTCTTTTAAAGTTTGATGTTGATATCATTGTATGTTCCTTTTTGTTTCTATTAGCCTTTACAATTAAAGTTCCTTTGGAGTAACTCTTCATTTCATGCCTTCTAAACTAGGTCTTCAATACAAATCTTATGAGAAACATTATTTTAATTGAAGATTTTTAATAGGAAACTTGAAGTATTCATCTTATGAACTAGGTTTTCAAGACATTTCACTTGAGAATAAATGTTTTACTTGAAACATTCTGATTAACATCTTAGGATACTTACTTCTTGCTTGGGACAAACATTGCCTTTTATGCTAATTAACAATCCTTAAAAGTGAAAAAATATGTCTTGTGAATTTCTTTCATTGTTCAATGACATCAGTAACCCATGTAGCCTTGTGATTAGTCATGATTTTGTTGAAACACTTAAACAAACTAATTAGCGCACAAATGAAAACTTTTCTTTTATAGAATCTGAAACTAAAAATTTGTCATTTTTAAAATCATATTTAGTAAGGATTCAACATATATTATTGTAAAAAAAGACACTTCATGCTTCCATCTAATTTTTAGATAGAGTGTTAACTCATGCGAACTATTGTGATGAATTTAATGGTGAGGGTTGAGATAATATACTTGAGATCTTATGTTCAAATATTAGTGCAATTTTTGTACACAAGAAAAGGTGTATACCCATGTGATGCATGGATTAATGACGGAGAGAGCACTTTTTTGTATTTATTAAAAATATATATTAACAATTATGTTAATTTTTATATATATTTTGGTAGAAATATAATTTAGCTAAAAATTTTGCATGAAAACTTAATTTAATACTACAAAAATATCAATTACTTGATTTTTTTAATCAATCATAATTACAATAAAAAATTGAAAAATTAGATGAATAATAAAAGATAACTAAATGTAGTAATTTTTCAACATAGCTAAAAAGTTTAATTTCACAATGTTTACATTCTTAAACTCAATAATATTTTTTAGACAAATTAAATGATAACAAATCATATAAAGAATAATTTTAGACAAAAGAACTCTACATATATAGTATTTCACTAAATCTATATTTATGGAATTCGATAATTTTTAATTTAAAATATTATAAGCAAAATTAAGTTAGTAAATAAATGAAAAAAATATAAATTTAAGAATACATATTTAAACGATCGGTATTGGTATAATATCTATATCGGATATCATATTCATTGGATTTAAATTTGATCAAATGTTATGTATGAATAAATCGTGTAATTGTGATATATTTTTGTTATTTTGAAAGAAAATTCACTTGATATATATATCTCTGTGTGTGTGTGTGTGTCTGTGTCTGTGTCTGTGTCTGTGTCTGTGTCTGTGTCTGTGTCTGTGTCTGTGTCTGTGTGTCTGTGTGTGTTTGTGTGTGTGTGTGTGATAGTCTACTTGAACAAGTGGTCCATGGGTGGTGCATCCAAAATTACCATAGATATAATATTAAAAATAATGAATGGTTCAGATTATGATTTAATGAGTAACAATACATTGTACACCTTCACACACAGGATCAACATTTCCGAATTTTTTTATGAAATTATTTTTTTTTAAATTACCCAAAAAAAAAACACGTGTTACAATGCACTGACGCAACTACTGATGTCCTATGAATGAAGCCCAAAACTAGGTCTAATAAGCTTAAAACCCAAAAAGAGAACCCTAGGCCCACCAAACCCATTGGGCTCACTAAGCTTAGAAGCAGTCAAAAGCTCAAAGGTTCATGAAGTCCAAAACTAGGCTCAATAAGCTTAAAACCCAAAAAGTCTTATACTAAGACCCATAAACCCTAAACCCTACTTGTTTAACTGGTCATTTGTTATTTTTGAAACTAGAACTTAGTGAGCCCAATGAGTTTGGTGGGCCTAAGGTTCTCTTTACTTGGTCTTTAGTATAGGAGTTTATATTGTTTGGTCTTGTATTATGGACCTAAGTATAAGACTTTTTGGGTTTTAAGCTTGTTGGGCCTAGCTTTGGGCTTCATGGGCCTTTAGACTTTTGATTGCTTTTGAGCTTAGTGAGCCTAATGGGTTTGATGGGCATAAGGTTCTCTTTACTTGGACTTTACATAAATGACCACCTTTCTCATATATTTGGTAGTATAGGAGTTTATATTGTTTGGTCTTGTATTATGGGCCTTAGTGTAAGACTTTTTGGGTTTTAAGCTTATTGGGCCTAATTTTGGGCTTCATGGGCCTTTGAGCTTTTGACTGCTTCTGAGCTTAGTGAGCCCAATGGGTTTGGTGGGCCTAGGGTTCTCTTTACTTGGGTTTTACATGGATGACCACCTTTCTCATATATTTGGTAGTATATGAGTTTATATTGTTTGGTCTTGTATTATGGGCCTTAGTATAAGACTTTTTGGGTTTTAAGCTTATTGGGCCTAGTTTTGGACTGCATGGGCCTTTGGGCTTTTGACTGCTTCTGAGCTCAGTGAGTCCAATGGGTTTGGTGGGCCTAGGATTCTCTTTCCTTGGGCTTTACATGGATGACCACCTTTCTCATATTTTTGGTAGTATAGGAATTTATATTGTTTGGTCTTGTCTTATGAGCCTTAGTATAAGACTTTTTGGGTTTTAAGTTTATTGGGCCTAGTTTTGGACTTCATGGGCCTTTAGGCTTTTGACTGCTTCTAAGCTCAGTGAGCCCAATGGGATTGGTGGGCCTAAGATTCTTTTTACTTGGACTTTACATGGATGACCACCTTTCTCATATTTTTGGTAGTATAAGAGTTTATATTGTTTGGTTTTATATTATGGGTCTTAGTATAAGACTTTTTGGGTTTAGGGTTTAGGGTTTAGATGTAATTTAGTAGAATGAAAAAAATAATATTATTTTGCTTAAAAAAATTCCTATGACAAATTTGTAGTTAGAACGAGCCATTCTGAATTCAGAACGGCCCATTCTGGTGTAATTGTTCATGTGTTTTGTTTGAATTTGGAACGGGCCGTTCTGGATTTGGAACGGGCCGTTCCGTTCCATTAGTCATGTTTTTTTTTCATATGGAACGGCCCGTTCTGATCCAATATTCATGTGCTATTTTTTCATGTGGAACGGTCCGTTCTGATTTCAGAACGGCCCGTTCCGAAAGTGCATAGCAGTTGCGTTAGTCCTCGTAACACGTGCTTTTTTTTTGTAATTTAAAAAAAATCAGTAAAAAATTCGGAAATTTTGATCCTGTGTGGTAAGGTGTATAATATGCTATTTGTTTAGATTAATCTTATGGTCAAAAGTGGTAGTGCACCCATACACCACTTGCTTAAGTGGTGCGTCAGAGAATTTACCCTAATTAAGAAGAGACAAATTAAAATGAAGATGTATTTAAAAATAATTAATATACATGTGAATATAAAAGAAATTGCTATAATATATTAAATTTATATAGCACAATAATATATATATATATATAAAGAAGGATTCACTTACTCTAAAAGTATTATATTCAATAATTTATATTTTATATCAAATTTCAATAATTTAATCGTTGAATTAATTTTTTTTAATGCACTAATGAATTTTGCAAATTTTTAAATTTTGTTTGGCATCAAAATTTAAAATTTATTTGATACATCGGTTCATTAATTCAACATGATGAATAATTATAAAAGTATTTATATATTAATTTTAATTAATGAAATAAAGTATCAAATAATTTTTAATATCTTTAAAAATTTGCAAACGTGATATATGCATTTAAAACTTTTGATTCAACATTTATGATTTTGATTTTGATGAAAGTTATTTTTGTAACTATTAGCATTTTTCATTATGTCCAATATGAGAGTATTACAAGACTTATGAAATTGATATTTTACTCATTTCTCTCATTTTTCATTAATCCATTCCCCATTTTTTATGTATAATAACTGAAACTCCTAAATAAAAGGATCTGTGAAATTTTTAGCCAAACAAGAAGTTTACTTAAAAAAGACAAACTAAATTGTCATAGTTCACAATGACTATTTATCGCCACTTATTAGGAAAGATTAAAACTTTTGTTAATTGCTAACCATCATTTGGGGGCTAGTTTACCTTTTTTCTCTCTATTGCTTCTTTAGTTTTTCAATTTTTTTGGGGGGTTTCTATGAAGCTATACGAAATCACATCAATGCTAAATTTTAGTTATCCATCATTGTTCTTCTAATTTGTCATTTTTTTTATTAGCAAAAAATTCATTCTCATTGAGTATTTCTTCAATGAGGTTTGTAACAAACATATGTATCACTTATTACTATAATGATTATGGTTACTTTCTTGAATCTAGTTATAAATAAAATGTTTACAATTTGAGTTTTTCACTAATGGGTTGTGACAAATATGTTTAGTCATTAGCTTGACAACATTTTAGTTTCTTCTTTGTACAAACATTCACAATGACAAAGATGTGGTTGAATGTAAAGGAAATTCTTCTTCGTTTGCATAAAGTGGTATGTGATTCAACCAAGTCTAGTTACACATTTGTACAGAGGCATCCATGGTTTTCAGGTGCTTCATTAGTTTGTTTCATCCTATATGTATTCCTTTCTTATATTTACAATTTTTTGGTTTACATGTCCCCTTTCCTCGTGTGTGCTATTATTTTCATAAGAATATTTTGGAGTTCTGAGCAAACTCAACTTAGATATGTCAAAAGAGATGAGGGAAATGGTGAGCAAAAAAAGGTTGAACCAAAACATCCAAAGATACCTAACACTAGAAGACCTGAACTACTTTACAAGTATCCATCACAAAATGCCACAAGTAGAAGGAGAAATTTTAGTGACAAGAAATGGGATGTATATGGTGGTTTAGAAGAAAAGGCCAAGGATTTGTCAACAGTGTTTCATAATGAGTTCACTAAAAGAAAAAAAGAAAATAAAGGATTTGCCAATTTTTTTGAGAAAGGAGAGAGTTCTTTGGATAATATGTTATATATTAAAAAAAATCAAGTTCATAAAAGGCGAACTTTAAGATCTGAACCTTCAATGGTTGACCTGGTGGAATGTGGTGATTTAGAGATAGAGAAAATAGAGGATGGTGATGAAGAAGATGGGGAAGAAGCACGAGAGGATCGAAACAAAGTTATTGGATGGACGGAAGATGATCAGAAAAACCTTATGTATCTTGGGATTTCAGAAATGGAGAGAAACAAAAGGTTGGAGAGTCTCATAGCTAGAAGAAAAGAAAAAAAGTTATTCAAAGGGCATCTTGAGAAGGGTATAACTGATAGAAAAGTAATGGCACCAGTTATTACTAAAAGAAGCAATCCTTTAGATTTTTCAAAGGACTTTGAAGATGGTTTAGAAATTCCTAATTCTGCTCCATCTCTTATGCCAAGAAGCCCTTATGACATTCCATATGAACCTTCTGAGGAGAAGCCTAACCTTACAGGGGGTAGTTTTTCTCAAGAGATATCTAGTCAAAAGGACATGCCATTTTGTAGGCATGAAAGTTTTAGTTCAGGCCACATTTCCCTTTCACAAACCAACCAAGACTATGGAAGTAAGGAACATTATTCCTTCAATAGTGGGAGGAACTATTCAAACAAGGTTGCATACTCAAGATTCAAGAGGCATACAGGTAGTCATAATTTCTACTTGTCATTTTTTTTTCTTTATTATATTTTTCTCAATTACTTTCAAACAAAAGGAACATTGGAAAAAACTTATTTTAACTTGCAAAAAATGGTTATGACATTATTGTTTTAAACTCAATTAAAAAGTTTCATAATTTAGCTTTTATTGAATATGTTATTTATTCAAACACATTCTAAATAACAAAAAAAAACATTATGGTTAAAGTTGATCATGAAGTTGAATATATTTTACTCATGCAGATAAAGGAACTCATGATTGGATAATTGATCAATTGATTTACAATGAAGGTGCAAACAATCCATTAGGAAATGGAAGGGAAATAACACAAATAGATGACATAAAATGTAAAACTAAAATGGTTAGCATGAAAGATGAGAAAGTGGAGAATGATCATGAAAAAAAATCCATGTTAGATCAAGTAAGTGAGCTAGACTTGGTTCCAAACATCTCAAATATTGAAAATGATGAAGTTTTAGATAAATCAAGGTTAGGGTTAAGGTTTCCTAAGCCTCATGGGAGGCTACTCAATTTTCCTGTATCTACTACTACTACTACAACTAATACTAATATAAATGAAGCTTTATATGACACTGTCACATCTGTAGTAGATAAGAGACAAGAAAACATGTTGTTAACCCATGGGAGACTTTGTCACACCCCAACATATTCTGTAGCTTCTGACTTGCAAGTAGAGGTTTCTGAAGTTGGTTCACTAACTTCAACAATTGGTGAAAATGTTGAGACAAATTCATCCACTGATAGAGACTCTATACTTTATGATGGGGACGTTGATAGAGATGTTAGTTCTGGTAGTGAAGAATTATGGGGGACCTCTTTCCATGGAGGGAAAGAAGCCCAAGGAGTTAGAAGTGAGGGGGATAATGGAGAAGTGAGCAACAACTCAAAGGATGTTGTTTCACCTTTTGCTCGACAACATATAAATGAAGAAAATGCAGCTAACATTAGCTTAATGTCCTCCAAATCTGACATGCCTGAAGATACTTCAACTCATGCAACAAATAATCATCATGACATCTTTGGATATATGAAACATTCTATAGGGGAAACTGAAGCACCACAATCTTCTAATTCTTCTTATGCTTTGAATCAATTACCAACTGAAACACGCTCAGAAAAACTAGAGGTGAGTCACTTTGGTGCTATTTTATGTAATAAAATTTTCATTGGAATTGTTATTTGCTTCAATAAAAAGTCATAGGAGAGGACATGGGTATTGTTATAATTTTTATAAAATTTTGTTCAATAGGAATGGTGCAATAACTTACCAGAGAATGTAACGACTGAGGAACAAGTTATCAATGAAGCAAACAATACAACAGTCATAGAGCAAGATAATATTGAGAACTCAAGAAGTAGTGAAGACCTTATCACATTAGTAACGCGACAAGAATCAATTGATGATACATCCACTTACTCAGTTTCATCATCACCAAGATCTGTGTTACCTGAAAAAACCATGGTAGATGAAGTTTCATTATCAGCTTTTGATCAACAAATACTTGTAGGTGCCCAATCTATCATGGAGGGTATGGCCCAAGAAACTTTAGACAATGAAATTTCATTTGACATCATGCCTCAAACTATTCAGTCATTGATGGATGATAACACTCATGGATCACATAATGTCGACTTTAATAATTCTCAAGTATGTATTCAAAACATGATTAGTTACTCTTATCACTAAAGGTTTTTGACTTTTGGGACATGCCCATGACTATTACTACATTGACAATACTATGTTGTTTTGGTATTATTTCATATCTTAATTATAATGGTATTTCATTTATTTATCATATTCATAACTAAATAAAAGAAAGAAATTATAAATTTAATTAGTCATATATGTAAGTAAGGGTTTATTTTAAAAATTTTATTTTCATTTTTATTTGTACAAATATTTTTAAAATATTTTAATGTTTTCACTATCTTTTCACACCATATGTGATATTGACCAGGAGCAAACTATTCTCCTAGAGAATTCTGTCGAAGAATCAAATATATTTGATAGTATGAATGATGGACAAGTCAACAATAAGGAAGAGTATGATGAGTATATCATAGAGAGTATGACCCAAGAAACTTTAGATAAGGAAAGTCCATCTAACACCATGACTCTAACTATTCAGCCATTGATGGATGATACAACTCATGAATCACATAATGTTGACTATAATCATTCTCAGGTATGTATTTGGAACATGGATAATTACTCTTATTGCTAAAGGTTTTTTTGCTTTTAGCACATGACTATTAGGTTGCATTGGCAAAATTATATAGTTATTACTTCATATATTAATTATAACAATATATAATCTATTTATCATATTAACAACTAAATAAAATAAAGAAATTATAATTTTCATTAGTCATATGTGTGAATAAGGATCTAATTATTTCATTAAAAATGATTCCCATTTTCATATTATTTCTACAAATAATTTCAAAATGTTTTATTATTTTCACTTTATTTACACGTTATATGTGATATTGACTATGAGCAGACTAATCCCCAACAAAATTCTATTGAAGAATCAAATATATTTGGTAGTATGAATGATGAAGAAGTCAATAATAAGGAAGAACATGATGAGTATATCATGGAAGGTATGACCCAAAATACTTTAAATGGAAGTTCATCTAACACCATGCCTCAAACTATTCAGCCATTGATGAATGAAACAACTCATGAATCACATAATGTTGACTTTAATCATTCTCAGGTATGTATTTAGAACATGGTTAATACTTTTATTGTTAAAGGCTTTTGGCACATGACCATTAGGTCACGGAAATATTATATAGTATCATTTCTACTTCACATCTTAATTATAATAATATTTTATCTATTTTCCATATTTATAACAAAATAAACAAATTACAATATAAATTTCATTAATCATATGTGAAACTAAGGGTCCATTTGTTTTGTAAAAATAATTTCTATTTTAATTTTTTATTCTTATAAATAATTTTAAAATATTTTATTATTTTCACTCTATTTACATATTAAATGTAATGCAGCAGGAGCATAATATTCCTTTAGAAAATTTTGTTGAGGAATCAAATACATTTGATAGCACGAATGATGAAGAACTCAACAATAAGGAAGATGATGACAAAAATATCATGGAGGGTATTACCTTAGAAACTTTAGATAATGGAAGTTCATTTGACACCATTCCTCAAATTGTTCAACCATTGAAGGATAATACAACTCAAGAATCAAATTATCTTGACTTTAATCATTCTCAAGTATGTGTTCAAAACATAGTTAATCCTACCATTAAAGACTTTTAGCTTTTGGCATATGACCATTAGGTCACATTGACAATATTATATGGCATAGATTTTACTTTGTATCTTAATTATAAAATATTTTATCTATTTTCCATATTCACAACTAAATAAAAGAAATAAATTATAAGTTTCATTAATCATATCTATAACTAAGGGTCCATTTGTTTTATAAAAAATGTTTCCCATTTTTATTTTTAATTTCTACAAATAAGTTTCAAATATTTTATTATTTTACTCTATTTACATGCTACATGTGATATTGATCAGGAGACAACTATCCCTATAGAGAATTCTATTGAAGAATCAAATATATTTGGAACTAAGAATGATGAAGAAGTCAATAATAAGGAAGAGCATGACAAGTCAAAGGACGAAGAAAATAATGAGGACAATTCTAACAACTTAAAAAGACAAGAGACTACTACAAAATCAACTAAACCAATAAATGAGATTACAACTTTGGATGACATGGGTAAGAAATCAAAATATTTAATGAAAAATAAACTAACATTTGATTCTTTAAATTTGATATGTTAATGTAGATTTATAATATATAGTATCATATTAGCTAACACTTACATTGCACATTATATTTTATTATCTAAGCAGGTGCCATTAATAGAGTTAACAGAAGATGATAAGAAATACAAACCATCAAAGTACTTGTAACATTTATGAAGAATTGTCACAACAAAGGGTTATTAAGCCAATGATTCATCACAATACAGGGTTAAACCAATAATTGTAATTTTACATGTTTCCTTATATATCTTTCTCTCCTTTGTGTATTAATTCTCTCCTTTGTGTATTAATACGATGAAACATTAATTAAGGCCAATGATACAAATACAAATACAAAAGTACATATTCAAATTTTCTCTTTTTTCATATATATGCTTGATATTATGAGTTTTGATTTTTCCTTTCTCCATTTATTCTTTGTTAGTATTAATGTCAAATCTATTATCTATTGTATTACTATATACATATAAATAAAAAATCCTTGCTTACGCATGTCAATTGCTTAACTAGAAGAAATTTTTTTTTCATTCAATTCCACCTTCTTTTAATTTTGTTATCATTTATCAGTGAAATTGCACGGTAAAACTTGGAACAAGCATATTATTAATTGAAGACATGATTAGATTATCATTCTTTTTCATGAGAAAGAGATCAATATACTTTTGAATAAGACATATTTTTGTATCTTTAATTGTAACAATACTTTTGAATGAGTATAAATTGTACATGAACAAGCACAAAAAGTAACTTAGCCTTTTAACTTATATGTACTTTTTTATTTTATTATTTTTAAAAATAAAAAAATTATTTTTTATTAGTACTTTTCATCTTATACCATGCATTTTTAGTGGATGATGTTTCAAAATTAATAATTACTTTGAGCAGTACGAAAAAATAAAATATGTTTTCAATTACAAAAAGAATGATAATTAAATTAAAATAATTTAATTTGAATTAAAAAATTAAAATAACATGTCATTGTGTTAGATAAATAAATAATAAAAATAAAATCATTCTCAAACAAATATATTTTAATTTAGTATATAGTAATCATGAATAAAATAATGTAATTTATGTCTTTTTCTAATATTAACATTGAATATTAATAGCATAATTTTGTATACATATTTTCATTATTACTTGTTTTAGCTTATAGGAGCATACTACATTAAAGTATTTGTTTATTTAGATTAAAAACGTGTACTGATGATTGTTTATAGTTTTCCTAATTTTTTCTCTATTTTTTAATGTTAATGATGACTATGGTTGCTTTGCTCATAACATATTTAAGGATGACACATAAATAAAATGAGTTCAATGAAGAGATTAATGATACCCTAGACTTGGGTTAACATGTTAAAAAATCTCTCCAAGATTAGATTAGAGTACATTAAAATGATTTATATGGATAAAAAGGTAATGTTTCATTTCTAATGTGTTACAATATTTGTTTTATATTATCATTTGTTATTTGTTGTTTAATTTTTTGGGTTAGTTTGTTCACGACCCAAGGAGATAAAATACAATTTTAAGAGAAAATGAATATTTAAAAGATGGAAAAGTCAATTAAAAATAATTTCTTAATGAATTCGTTAAAGACTTTTTTAACTTCATCTTATTATTGGTTTGTTACTTTTAATTATTTTAATTGTTGTCTAATAATTATAAAAAAAATTAAATGATTTAATTTTTCTAAAATCTTGGAATAGTTGTATATGTTGTTTTTGTAATTTATTATTGTACATGTGAAATAATTTAATTTGAAGAGGTTATGAGCTTTTTTTTTTTTTTTTAAAAAAAATTAGAGAAATCTTGCAAAAGTAATAAGCTTACCATCTTTTGTCTCTTTCTTGGTTGAAAGAGTTCTCAAAAAAATGTTTTAGCAAGAAAGGAAATAAAAGATGTATCTAATAAATATAGGAGTTGTGTGAATAATAAAATATAAGAATTATTAAGTGTAATTTTTTTATGTATTGTTAATGTAAAATTATTCACTATTAATCATTTACAAGTTAGAAATGAAATATGACTTTTAAGGTAGATTTACTTTATTTAATAATTCATGATACTCATTAACTTTTAAGCTTCTAATTATTAAATAAAAATTTCTTACTAAATAGATAAAGTTTACAATTTTTTTTAAAGTTTAAAAATCATTTGATACTTTGCTAAATAAATTCAATTTAATATATTTTCATAAAAATATTATTATACATTAACTTGAATTTATTTAATAAAATATCAAATAGTTTTCAAAATTTGTAAAATTGTATAGACATCTTCTATTCAATAAGAATTTTTAAATTTAATGATTGGATCATTATTTTATATATACAATGAGTTATTAAGTGTAGTAAGAATTTTTTTGAAAATCAGACCAAATCGATTTGTCAGATCAATTTGACCATGAATTGGTTCAATCAATTCAGTTCAGTTAGAAAATCATTTTGCATCAAACCAATCAAAAACTAGTAGAACCAGCCAATAATTGATCAATTTGGTTTGAACCACAGTAAAACGTGCACTAGGAGGCGCCACGACCATCGCGACACACCAAGCACGCCATAAACCATCGTGATGGATGCACCAGGTAGTGCCGCAACCATCCCTTGTCCAACGCTACTGGTCCTCCATCTTCATTTCTTACCACCCCTCCGACTCTGATCACGATCACAATAACTCTCCCCTCTTCCCCAATTGCATCGCCACATTAAATAGGTGGGTTTGAATGGGTTACCAATTTAGACAAGTTAAAAAATGGTTTAAAATGATTAATTTCGATCAGATTCGATTTGAGTTTTTGGACCCATCAATATTCGAACCCAACCGTTCAAACAAAATAAAGATCAAAGTAATTATCAATTAAGTCCGAAAGGTAAGTTTATCTTGACTCATCTGTAATCTATATTGTTGATACATAAAAAACTTTAGTTAAGTGTGTAGTTTATAACTTCCTTTTTTATAGCATGCACTTAAAAAAAATTATTATAATATTTAAATTATTTGAAACTTGAATAATTTTATTCATTTTGAGTCTAAACGAACCCAGTAATATTTGAATGGCTAAATGTATAAAAAAAAGGTACAAGAATTGAAAAGAAAGAAATAATAAATTGAATAAAAGCTTTATTTGGACCAATCAAATGATTCAAAGTCCAATACATTTCTACTTGTAAAAAACTATCTGATAAAATTAAGACTCGCTCAAACCAAAACCCATCTAAACCAATAAGCCATTTGGTCGGAGTTCGAGTTTAAATAATACAACTTGAGTTATATTGGTTTGAAATCGACCATATTGATCACCCTTCTTATAAGAACTTGCATTGAAGATATTTTTATTAGTGACTTGAGGGATTAAAACAAGGTTTTTTTAAAAATTATAGTGAGTAAAAATAATAATTTTAAATTTAAGAGATAAAAAACAAATTTATCATAGATTTAAGTTTTTACATAATGTATTTCTATTTTTTTGTTCCAATTGAAAAAAAAATTATGCCATATCATTAATATTGAATTATTGAGTGCATTAATTCTTTTAAAAACTCTAAGAATAACTTGACTCGATCCCCACTCGAATAAATAAATAAATATGTATATATATATATATATAAATATATAAAATGAGTGAAATTACATTCATTTAACTTTTATTAATTTTATATCATTAATAACTTTCAATTGGAAGATAATTTATCAAAATTTGATATTAGATTAAGTATCTTACATCCAAATCATACATATAAAATTTGATATTTGATTTATATAAATTAAAATTGGTGTTGTACCTGTCTGAGGGCACACTTGTAATTTTCTGGTAGGTGGAGGGTCGAACGAGAGCTTCAGGTAGATACTTCAGAGGGGGGAGGTACCTGCAAAAGGCACTCCGACGCTCAAGTCAGGACAATCACGATTCTCTAGGGTAATAAATGAACAGTGACATACCTCGTTTCGTGTGACTTATTTATACTACCTGTCATGGGCTTGAGCATGGTGGGCCTTCTCTGACACTTACCAAATTAGGTAATACGATGTTAATCGGCTAGTTATGCCTTAATTGTGTGTTGTCCTTTGTTAACCGTGATTATTGTCCTAACTATTCTCTGTTGATCTTAGGCCGAGCCAATAGGGAACGACCGAGATGACTTCTCCATCTTCGGCCTTTGGCCGAGCCGATAGGGGAAAAGGTTGGGTTCACCATGGTTCTCGACCTTTTACCGAGCTGAGATGTGTTAGAACTGCGTCAATATTTGATAGGACATGACGTGTCGGTCCACGTGGCCGACCCACGTGGCCGATAGGACCCTTCTGGTACACAAGCCCCCAGCCTTAAGGAGTGAAACGATGCGAAGGGTAGATGTGTTGTTTCGGATGTGGTGGTTGTGTCGGAATGTGGAGTTGTAACCGTTGGATATTAATTGTGGGAATGTGAAGGGTTATAATCGTTGGGTTGGTAACCGTTGGACATTAATGATGGGGGATTTGAAAAGTTGTGGCTTGTGAGTCGTTGGATCAAACTGATCCAACGATTCGTAGGGGTGTGATGGTTGGTTAGCGGCTCCTGAGAGTGCTATAAATAAAGGTGGTGGGGACCAATTCGATGCGTTCACTTATTCCAGTCTTCATCTGCTCCGAGCCGATACAGGTTGATCTTGAGCACTAACTACCGACCGAGACTGACTTCATTTCAAGGTACGTTTCTATGGCTGATTTAGAAAGGGGTATGGATGATAGGGTTTCACAAGCTGGCTCTTCTGGGGATGCTAGGACTGGATCTGCTGATACGGGCTCGCGTGAGCCTTCGGATTGGCCCGAGGGTTCTGCGTCGGCATCGAACAAATCAGTGAGTATTGAGATTATTGAGGAGTTTGAACAGACGGGCACGAAGGAGGAAGTCTCTTCGCTCGTCGTGTCGGAAGGCCGGCCGAGCACACGTAGAGTCGGCTCGACTTCTCGCAGCTTCGGTCCCATACAAGTCCCCGATTATAGATGGGTGCACGGGGAAGTGGGTAGCGTCTTTTCACGTTATGCTGACAAGAGTGCAATTGCTCTGTTGTTTGATGCCGAGAAGTTCGTCACCCTTCCTGAGAATGAGGTGTCGTCAGGTTTTTTCTTCGAGCCGTGCCGAAATGACGGATCGCCGGATTTTGACTTTGTCTTCTTGGGTCGAGAGAAGTCTAAATATAATTTCTTTTTTGTGTATGATTACTTGTTTCGGGATTTGGGGGTGACTCTTCCTTTTGACAACTTTTTCATGGGTGTGCTTCGGCTGCTTAACGTGGCGCCGACACAGCTTCATTCGAACAGTTGGGTCGCTATGCAAGGATTTCGG